AGGGGCAGGGGGACGGCCCCCCCCCCCCGGGGAGGCACGGATGAGGGCTGGGGCTGGGGTTGGGGGCTGGCGCGGGCTCTGCTGGCTCCGGGGAACTGCTCCACTCTCCAGCCCTGATGCCATGTGCCTCCTCACTCCCCGTGGCGATGTGGGGGTGCAGACAGTTCCCCAGAGCCAGCGGAGCCCGTGGCAGCCCCCCAGCCCCGCCTCACCTTGCCTCAAGGAGGAGCCGCTGCCTGCCCTGCATGAGGAGTGAGGGGCTTACCTTCAGTAAGTGTCCTGTGCTGGCTCCGGTGCCTCTGCTGCAGTCCACGGCCAGCTCCTCTCCGGGCGGGTGTGCAGCATTAAAAAGTTGGTGCGCGGCAAGATTTTTGCTTGTGCACGGCCACGCATGAGCGCAGCTTAAAGGCAACCTTGATTGCATTGTGTCACTGTGAGGACATCTCCTGTCACCATCATAAGCCTGGTAGTAATAATCAGCCTCGTCCTGGGCGTGGACTCCAGTGATGGTTAATGTGGCTGTGCTTCCTGATTTGGAGCCAGAAAATCGGTCAAGAATTCCAGAGGGTCTCTCACTAGTCTTATATATAAGTAGCAAGGGAACGCTGCCAAGTTTCTACTGGTACCAGCACACATAATACTTAGCCACGTTGCTTCCTGTGCAGCTGATTGAAGTATTTTGTCCTGGAGAGACAGACACTGACGGTGGCTGAGTCTTCACATATTGGGCAAAAGAACCTACAGGGGAAGAAGAAAACAACCAGGTAAAATGATTCATCCTTGGCTTCAACCCCACTTACCATGAACTAGAGGCAGGCAGGTGAAAACCCTAGCCCGCTGCAGCACCTGCACAATACGTGAGCAGCACAAGGATGAGAGAGGCCCAGGCCATTGTGGGAATCCAGACTAGCGTGGCTTGCACAGGGGCCTCTGGCTCTGACCCTCTGGGACTCTTAAGGACACAGAGCAGAGAACAGCTCCTTCATGCAAATCTGCTCCTAGGCCACTGGCTGCTGTGTCGCTGCACCTGCACATCTGAAAAGAGCCCTGACACAGGCAGGGGACCATGGACCCAAATTCCCAGGCTCTTCTAGTGTAAAAGCAGGGTGAAGTCACTGCTGTTAATGCAGTGAGATGGTTGTGCCGCTGGGGTCAGTGAGGGGACAAGCAGGACCTCCCTTGGTAAATTCCATTATTTGATTGAAGTTTAATTAAACAAGTCAAGGACCCCTTCCAGGTCATCCAGAGCCCAGTCGGTCACTAGAGGATCACAGACACATTGCGGTTGGAAGTGTCACATCAGCAGCAGAACTGCAGTGAAGACTTTATGCTCCTGGGACCCGGCTCTTCCCTTCCCAACCCCTCCTCCAGGTTTTGCAGCGGGCTTCTCCTTCTTACTGAAACATGACTGTAGGGGAGCAAACCAGTGCTCTGAGCACTGCTTATTTGCACATGTGCAGCAGGGAAGGGTGGAGGAGCAAAGGGCTCGCTCTGATGCAGACAGACCTGTGCACCGGGAGGTGATGCCCACCATGGGATCAGAGGCTGGAGATAGATGGGAAGGGCGAGCTCAAGGGAGGCTTTGCTATACTTTGCCATAGGCATGTTGCCACCCCCATACATGTGTCACCATGGTCCGGTCCAAATTTTTGTGAACATCAGTATTCCCACATGAAATGAGGGGTTTCTGCTATGCTATCTGAGCACCTTCCCCAGCAAGCTGATTTCTCCCTTGTTGAGGTTGAAATTATGCTTGGCTCAATTTGTGGTTTTGATCAAATATAATTCATCCACTCTTCTCATTAATTTTTGTTTTGGATAGGACGGGGTCTGCTGGGAGAGAGGGAGTGTTGCCCAGTGTCTCAGCTCTTCCCAAGTATCCTGGAGAGCTTGAGCGAGCACAGCGGGGCTAGGTCTATCCTCTGTCAGTTTTGCTCTCTCCTAATACGCAATTTGCAGCATCGGGAGTTTAAGGAAGTCCCAGTCTTAGTGGGGCACTGCAACTCAAGCCCAAAGACTTTGGGCAGGGCAGTTAGCTCTGCAGCTGCCATCCCCTCCCAGCAGACAGGCAGTGGGAAGTGGCTAGTATTCACTTCAGTGTCGGACTCGGCTGATTCAGGGGACAGTGATTCGATTCGGTGATTTGAATCACTGTCCCAATTCAATGTGGCTGTATCTGATTCAGAGATTCGGCTTCTGCCAAATCAGATGGGCCCACCCCACGGCCCTCTCCCAGCCCAGCAATGGCTGCCCGGCCCGCCCCACCTCTGGCACTTGTTAAAAAAAAGCCGCGACTCACCGGGTGCTGCCAGGTCGGGGGGTGATTCCCGCTGCCCATCACTGCACCATGCTGCATGGGGAGCTCAGCATGATCCTCCTGACCCCTACTTTCACGCCCCCATGGGTGCCCTGCCTGGGCTAGCTCCAACCCTTTAAGAAAAAAAAAAAACCCAAGAAACCCCCGGACTCACGGCGCCAGGTTGAGGATTGTTGTGTACAAAGAGTTATGATTATTTTGTGTGTAACCTGCATTGTGCGGAGGCCTGCATGCTACAACGAACCAGATCTCAGGCTGCCCCCAATTCTTGCTTGTAGAGTTTAGAAACGCTGAACGAGAATTCAAAATGTAACCTGCCTCTCAGTCCCCCTCCATGTCCTAGAGGTCTCCGGTAGGCG